TGAGTTCTTTTTTCTTCTGCCTCGGAATGATATACTACCCTCTGGGAAGTTAATACAGCTACAGAAAATCACCGTGTGCAGCCGGTAAATCATCAAAGTAAATAGGCAATTGTCATCACTTTCCAGTTCGCAAACTGTTAAATCACCAGAGGGTATATCACCATTATATTGCATTAAATCACCATTGTTGTTGGCTAAATCCCATATAAATCCTATTAAAACAGCATGTTTGTCATTTTTTTCGTCAAACCCCAGTGGCTAAACAAATTATCTACGTGCGCCTTATAGTTCATTGATCAGTTCATTGACCAAATCTCATTGGCTAAACCCATTAGTTCCCATTATAGTTCATTAGTTCTTAGGTTACATTATAACGACCTCACTGCGACCTCACTGGAATGATTGTTAGATATGATTAGTACGGGGAATGGTTTTCTAATATTGCCGAAGATTTCAGGCTAATGAATCATTTCAGCTTAATGAATCATTATGAATTACAATAATTTGCCAAGATGTTTGCTGGTTAAACCATGGGTAGACTCGGGTAGACCTCTATTTTTGATGGTTAAACCTCTACTGTTGATAGTTAAACCTATTGTTGATGGTTAAAACCATGGTTAAACCATGTTAAACCTCTATTGTTGATGATTAATAACCAAGATTTTTGATGTTTAACCCATGTTAAACCTTTATGTTTCCATATGTTTTATGGTTAAACCTCTATTTTTCCATATGTTTGATGGTTAAACATCTATTTTTCCATATTTTTGATGGTTAAACATCTTATTTTTCCACGTTCAACTCCGGGCAAAAACAAAAAAAAAGCGCCTAGCAGCGTAGCGTGGCCAGTCAGCTCTACACATGGCCGAGTTCACCTTGCCCCCTTCCTCGGTGGAGGCACCATTTTGGGGCAAAAGCCATGGGAAAATGATGAGAAAATGATGGGAAAATGGTGATAATAACTGGTTAATCTAATGGTTAATCTATGGTTAATAATGGTTAATAACTGGAATAACAATATATCTGGTTGGTGGTTTGGAACCATGGATGTTTTTTGACTTTCCATATATTGGGAATAATAAGCCCAACTGGCTAATATTTTTCAGAGGGGTTGAAACCACCAACCAGGTGATTTAACATGGGAAAATGATTGGAACATGGTGATTTTAACCGTCGGAGAATGAGGGAGGGAAACAAAAAACCATGGAACTAGGCGAGGGATAGGAATTTGTTTACCTTTTTTTTCTTTCCATAAATCATGGTGAGTTCTATAATGAACTAGATAGCTAAGTGGACTTATAACTTCGTTCACTATAGGCTTTATGGAGATAGAACATGATATAAGTATACTTCATAGAAGGGTAACCACCTTCTAACTGGAGGGCACCACCCTCTAGGAGATCTTGCTCCTGTTCAGCAATTAGTTGAGAAGTTGCATCTAGCTGTGTCCACTGGGAGGGAAGCAAACGAGAGGGATAGACCACAAACCAACGTAGTGGGGGAGATACATGACTTGCAAAAGAAGGACATTTGAAAACCTAAGAATTTCTTGAGAAACAAAGAGTTTGGATTGAACCATACGTTTCACAATTCTTTGGAATCATTTGCACAATAAACCGTGGATCTCTGACCATCCAGGGCGTTTAGCGTGAAGAATTTGGCTGGAATCCCGGCCATCAAAATTGCTGAGGATTTGGGGATGGTTTCCTCTTGTTTTACTCATACTATAGACTCATTAATGATGTAGGATAATAATCATCACAATGGGATTAGATAATAGACCCATTAAGACTAGAGTATCAAAATCCTATTTTCATTAATCCCTTAATGGACTCATATTATAGACTCTTGACTCCCGTTTGAGTTTCATTTCTCTCAACCCCTCCATAGTTTTTGCCAGCCGCGGGCACATGGCAGACATGGTTCAGGCCTTGTGGTATTCCGCAGATAAGGCGCATATGGTTGGGCAGCTTGTTACTGTACCGAGGTGGTGAAAAATGGGTGCCACCTTTTCAAAGGGTGGTGGTCATAGCAAACATCATCCCAATCATAGGGATATACCGATTTACCCATGTTCTTCAAAGATATAATATATATTTTTTTTTTCCCCCACCTGCCAGGTGAGGGTTGTTAGATTTTATGTCAGTTGCCTCCTCCTCCTCCTTCTCCTCCTTCTCCTCCTCCTCTCCTCCTCCTCCTCGTCGTCCTCCTCGTCCTCCTCGTCCTGCTCAACCGCGACCCTCGACGCACAGTGGTCTCTGTCGGACCTCAACCACGACCATCCACGCCCAGTGTTCCCTGCCGGACCTCAACCACGACCATCACCGCCAGTGTTCCCTGCCCGCCCAGTGTTCCCTGCCGGACCTCAACCACGACCATCCACGCCCAGTGTTCCCTGCCGGACCTCAACCGCGAGTATCCCCGCCCAGTGTTCCCTGCCGGACCTCAACCACGACCATCCACGCCCAGTGTTCCCTGCCGGACCTCAACCGCGAGTATCCACGCCAAGTGTTCCCTGCCGGACCTCATGTAGGAAGATATGGGACAAAGAATGTGCAGAAGAAATGTCAGATAGAATGCCAGAAGATATGCCAGAATGCCAGAAGATTTGCAGATAGAATGCCAGAAGATATGCCAGAAGATATGCCAGATAGATATGCCAGAAGATATGCCAGATAGAATGCCAGATAGAATGCCAGAAGATATGTCAGAATATATGCCAGAAGATAGATAGAATGCCAGATAGAATGCCAGAAGATATGTCCAGATAGAATGCCAGATAGAATGCCAGAAGATATGTCCAGATAGAATGCCAGAAGATATGCCAGATAGAATATGCCAGAAGATTTGCCAGAACATATGCCAGATATGCCAGAAGATATGCCAGAATAGAATGCCAGAAGATTTGCCAGATAGAATGCCAGAAGATATGCCAGAAGATATGCCAGATGCCAGAAGATTTGCCAGATAGAATGCCAGAAGATATGCCAAAGATAGAATAGAATGCCAGAGGATATGTCAGATAGAATGCCAGAAGATTTGCGAGTAACAAAATGTGTAAATGTCATGGTGGGGATCACACGAAGTAAAGTAATTTTATAGAGAGAGATAGATATATTGGGGATGGTTTATGGCATCGGTTTTAGCACATTGCTTTTGTTTCTTTCATTTGGGAAACCTGTCTTTCGAGGGCGTTGATCTGGGATGATGGGGAACGAATCTTGTGGCATCATTGGGGTGAATGAGAAGTTTTTTTTAACTTCACCCGGCCACACCCAAATAGCCAGATCTCAGGTTATGTGTTTTTCCTTTTTCAGCTTTATAAATAGATATCATTTATACCCATCTCATTTTCCCACAGCTTGGCAAGTTAAAAGAAGAGGCATCCTGATGAATGAGATGAATTTTCTGGGACTTTTATGGGGTTCAACGGTTCAACCACCCGCCAAAGGTGACTTACTATAGGCCATGAGATGAAGTAGGCAGAAAGCGGGTTATCGTATGTCAAAATCCCATGATTTAGCATTTTTCCCCGCCAGCGACTAACCAGAAAACCCATCCTAGAGCCCATCTACCCTCTGGGAATTTAACATAGCTATTGAAAATTGCCATTTATAGTGGATTTACCCATTGAAAATGGTGATTTTCCATAGTTATGTAAACGTTTACCAGAGGGTAATCACCTTGCTATGTAATCAGGGACCTCCTGGGAGAGTAAAAAACCTCTGCGTCACTAAGGAGCAAATCCATGGAACGTGCCTCCCTACGCCAGGTGACCGGGCAGCAGTGGCTTGATGTTTATTGCTTTGGTAAAACAAGATGAAACAAGGACAATTTCATAGGGATATCATGGAAAATCCATGAATATATCACCAACTATATCCACATAGAAAACCCATGGAAAATCCATGGAAAACCCATGGAACATCCATGGAACATCCAGCGAAAATCTGGATGATTTCACCAGGTCAAGGACCTGGAAGATCGCTTGGTGTGGCTGGGCTGGTTCAGAGCGCTGAGATCATGGGGACCTGGAACATCACCATTTTTTTAAAGGCAAATCAAGGAACTCAATGGCTGCATGTAAGGCTATGTCATGTTAGCCATGTTGAATTTCCGGTAATTAGTAATGGTGATATATCCCATGTTAATATGTGTTAATGGGATATATTTTAGGTCGATTTAAGCCTTCTGGTGATCCAACCCTTGTTAGATACGGACTAGTACTTCAATCTTTGGCTATCAATGGTAACATGTTTCCTTCCCAGCTAAACTTTAGATTGTTTGGTAGGTATCTAAGATTCACCATGATAACGGGAGTCCGACGCTAATATTGGTAAAGTAAACCATCCCCAATTTTACTATAAATGGGTGAATAAACCATCAACATATGGGTGGTTGATTATTGCTTCACAAACACTATATATGACAAGATTATGATGATATGGGGAGTAATTATATATATATACATATTGCATTTGTGAAGATGGAATGTTGGGGGTTAATAATGGGGAGATCATTGCCACCAATATCTGATAACACATGGTAATGTCAACCCTGGATAAATAACGATCCAGTGGTTAGGGTGGAGCAGTTGGGATGGGTATCCATATTCCCAGCTTGGGAGCCAAGGAGCTAGAGTTTCCCAACCACATGATAGAATTGGACTGGGGTTTCACACAACTTCATCTCTTTTTTGGAGCTGCTAGAGCTAAAAGTCAGAGGTGCTGTGCTAGGAGGTAGGCTTCATGGACAGCACATAGGCTCCAAATACCGCTGTTTATCCAATTAAACACCATGAAATATTCATGTTATCCCACTACGAATCAGTATAATTGTATTGAACCCCATTAAACACCATAAATATGCCATCAAACACAGAACAAATATCGTAATCATTATATTTTATCAATCATGAATATTCAAATATTCAAATATCCCATTGAACACCATCTTAAATTTCCCATGAACCACCTACCATCATCTGCCACAAACTCAGGATGTACCTCTCCGGCGGCATGTTCTACGAATCCCTGCGCGGGCTCATCGTCAATGAGCTGCACGTGCCTTCCTTGCACTCCTTGGATGCCAAGGTGTGAAACGGTGGGAACCCGAAACCACCCGAGGAGACTGAGATCCCAAGGTGATATGAGATGAATACCCACCATTTGTAGGATATCTATAGATGATATTCCCCATTGAATGGTGAATTATAGTTTGTTTCCATCTATAAAAAAATAATCGCAATGGAAAATCCACCATTTACTTCGGAAATTCTCTAGCTATGTCTGATTACTGAAGGTTACATAATTTGAAATCCATGGTATCACAGTCCTCTCCATGGCTTCGTTGGTGCAGGAAATTGGCGCTGCCTTCAAACAAGTTGATGAGAAGACAGGTGCAGACAGGGCTGGGTTTCAGTGTTCTGATTCAGCGATATTCAGCCAATAAACTTGGAACATAATAATTAATGACAATGAGAATCTGGTTGGTGGTTTGGAACATGAATTTTATTTTTCCATATATTGGGAATAATCATCCCAACTGACTTTCATATTTTCAGAGGGGTTGAAACCACGCACCAACCAGTAATGCTTGTGATCATCATGATCATCATGATCATCATCATCATCGTCATCATCATCATCATCATCGTCGTCATCGCCATCATCATCATCATCGTCGTCGTCGTCATCATCGTCATCGTCACATTTAATTTTCAATACTATATCATGAATTGTTTGTTATATATATATATATATGTGTGTATACATATATGTGTGTATGTAAAACTCTTTAATGTGACCTTAGCATTATACCGATGATGACAGATGTATATAGATGGACTGGCTGATTTTAGGATTGCGAACCATCTAATGGTGTACCACTTGGCCATTGCTCGTATATTGGAACATGCTGCTAGTATTGGTGGAAACATCGGCAGGTCACCAGCGAATATTTGATGATATTTGGCACTATTTGGCAATATTTGGTTTATTTTTCCCATGCTTTCCCGTGTCATCAATGGCCATTTCAGGAACCTAAATTGGAGGTACCTACCATATATAAGGCCTATGTAAGGCCTATGTAAGGGAATATCCCCACAAAATATGGCCTTATATGGTACAGTACCTCCAATTTAGGATCCTGGAATGACCATTGATTTCAATGTTGAAGAGCACATGGTCCTTGAATCTTGCCGCTGAGCTCCTGGCCCTGGTCGTAGGGGTGTCCAAATTGTGTAGCCCTAAACCTGGATGGCGAATTTTTATTTCGGACCAACATTTGCAGTGAAACATAGCTATTGAAACTGGCCATTTACAATTGATTTCCGGAAAAAGAAAAACATGTTCTTCATAGTTGTTCCATAGTTTTTGTGATGTTTTTCTATGTTTCTCAGAGGATTGTAGCAATTTTGACCCGCCCGGTGCAGGTTGCTGCGGTGTCATTGATCCACATGAGGCGGCTCAGAGCTTATGGAGATCAGTGGTGATAGTGTGACTAGTTTTCTGTAACTATCGTTTATTGGACGCTTATGGCATACAATGGTTAATTACCTTTCGTTTATGGCATATATATATATATATATTATCACATATATATCTATATATATATGTATACGCATATACAATAGTTAATGGGTTTATAAATGTTTATAAGTTGTTTCTAACCATTGCATATTCTATATTAATGGTTTATAAGCTTTTATACCCCAAACTTCATTATAATTGGTTTTGCGGATGGAAAATACCAGGTCATTTCATTTACGGTCATTTACCTTCATTCCTTCAGCGATTGCTTCATGACAAATGGTGGTCAATACTGTTTGCCTATTGGCAATTCTATATCGACATAATGGGGAAGTGATGAACATTGACTATTGTCAAATGCAGGGGTGCCCTACATCCGCACAAACCCACACTTGTCCCGTTTCTTGTGGTATTGAGCATCAACGTATCATCAAAAGAGGGGTTCACCATTCCCAGAAATGGGCAACCAATTCTCGGAAAAACGCGCCACCGTGCCGGGCATACCTGGCCTGGTAAACATACAAAAAACTATGGAACATCACCATTCTTAGTGGGTAAGTCAAGTAAATTTCTATGGCCATGTTCAAGTTCGCAAACTGTTCGTCATTTTGCCCGGGGGTATCTTCCGAAGCGGCAGAGGTCTCTGAGTTATTGTTGCTGCTATCTCAAGAGGGCATGGACTTGACGGTGGTCCACTGGCCCGGAGATGGAGATTGGGAGCGGGATCCGCGACAAGTCGCGAAGTGGTATCATAGTTTGTCAATAATCATGACATTTACATGTTAAGCATTGTTAAGTGCTATCATAGTTGTTCAATCATCATGACAGTTTGACATATACTTGATGGTTTTTCAGAACTGTCTACTGGAAGGAATTACTGTGTGATCGATTTTGTGCATCCCGCATAAGTGCCCATTATTTTTTGGATGGCGGCTTAATCATCAAACAGTGGACGCTGCATGTTTTCGATACACATGTGCTTGCTCATTTTCTCCCATCCCCAATGTTGATGCTCGCATTAGAAAGCTGCGGCCAGATTGTCATTGAGTATCAGCTGACATGGCTGGCAAGGAATCCAAATCAACTCAACCAGTGAAACTTTTGGTTGCAACCAGACTACCCTTTGCTTTAATAGTTTGCCATGGAAAATGACCCATGAAAGTAGATGATTTCCCGTTTTTGAACATGGCCCGCCATTGCTTCCATGGCGGCTCACCAGAGGGCAGTGCTATGCGAAATGAGGTGCAACAATCCTTCGACCAGCTTCGTGTGCATTTGGATCCGGAGGCGGTACAAGATGCTTTCATGATGGTCACGCGTCCGGTTTGGCAAATCGATATGGCTATCCTGTTTCAACCAACCAAATCGATATGGCAAATCCCTGGACAACGAACGATGAAAATTACCTCATTTGTGGTGGATTTTCGCTATGTAAACGTTAAAAAAGGCAGGTAAATCTTGGTGAATGGACTTGAATGGTAGGTTGCCTGGATCAGACACTATCCCGTTTCGGTTCTGAAAAACCTTGGTTTTCCTGCCATGGACCAATTTCTTGGATTGTGAGGATTCCCCAACTTACATTATGCGATCATGGCGATCAATGATGATTGTTCTATAATGTTATATATATATATACATTTCAAAATGCCTAGCTTGTGAGTATTAGAGATACATGTAGCATCTTCCAAAAAAATAGAAATGTGAACTTCTCAAAAAATATAGATTGTAATTCACGCGTCTATTATTTGGGGACGGTTCTTATATGTTTCTGTAAAACACCTAGTTTTTGCTGGGCAAAAATGGGGTTCATAAACCACCAGGCCACGCTGATCCCAAGGTTGACACCAACTGCGATGACAAGTTCCTTGGGACTTTGGGGCTGGGGTGCTGTAGTTTTACATGATCGTTTTTGGGATGGGGGGTTATTTTTTGGGTATCATCCCCGGCTTTATTTCAGCCATGTTCATTGAATTATTATCTGTTTGGTGGTTTGGAACATTTTTTTTCCATTTCATATATGGGATGTCATCCTTCCCATTGACTAATTTTCAAGATGGTTAGTTTAGCACCAACCAGTTAATGTCATAATTCTGTATAATATGAATAACCATAATTAATGGATCCACCTTTATGATTTATTATCCATAATTATGGTTGGTTGGTTATGAATGATTGTTATTCGGCCTGCAAAAGGCCTATGATATTCAGGGGGTTTTTCATGGTCAGTTCGCAGCTGCTGCTGAAAAAAATAGAGACGATGGCGTGACTTCACCATCTTCGGCTAAGACAATTACCCTCTGGTAAACAAACATAGCTATTGAACATGGCCCAGTCGAAATAGTGGATATTTACCCATTGATAGCATGGTGGATCTTTCCAGTTCGTTTTTTGTATGTTTACCAGGCCGTATAGTGAAAGAGCTTGAAATTTTCATCTGGAAATCGCAGGGAAGCTTCAGGCCCATTTCAGTACTCGTAGCTTCGAGTAGAACTGCTACTTGGATCATCACACTGGTTAGTAACCCTTAAGTCCGCTGGGCTTATCCCATTTATAGCTGGCTTAAGTGAGGTCCAAGGCCACTGATCTTGTCCGTATTTGACCAGCAAGAATAGTCGAGCAATAGTCAACCACACCCAATTTTTAACCATGAACGGGTAGTATTTAGTCCCTCAAAATATATGGCTGGTTTATGGTGGTTCATTATTTCTCTAAGAAAACATGTTATCAATGCTGGGGCCAAGCCTCAAGCGCGGCTTCAGGATTGATTTGACGGCACCTTGGCAGATTTTGGCAGTGGTGGCAGCCTCACACAGTGACAATACATCATTTACTCAGTTGGTTGGAAAGAAGATTGATAGCAAACTGAGCAAACCCATGATGAAACGCTGAAACATATAGAAATGTGTATGACATACATCTGGGAGGTTCCTGCAAGTTCAGAAACTGATCTAACCAATAAGCTACAGCAGGTGGATTGCTATCACTTGCGATGGCTAGGCTGGCTACATCTCCCCCATTACCTGCATGTTGATCAAACCAGGAAATCCGGATCTATCAGCTATGGGAGATTAGTGCAATCCAGCTCAAACTATGGGAAATAAAGAGTCATACTCTCCGTTAAACATACAAAAAACGAACTCGAAAGATCCACCATTGTTCATGGGAAAATTCACGATTTCTATGGTGATTTTCCATAGTTATGTGAAATTACCAGGGGGTAAATCCAAGTGCCATTTGGGGCTTGGGCAAAGCTCGGGTCTCCTGCAGTGCGCTTGGGGCCTCGACCCAGGAATTCCTCAGTCTCATCGACCGAATGGTGGATACCATGATTCCAGCAGCTCGGAAATGATGGGCTCGGAGATGGATGGAGATGAGTTGCAACAGCCCATAGAATGTGGGGTCCCCTATAAAGATTAATTATTAAAGATAATGAGATATATATATATAATTATATATTCATATATATATTCATATATATATAGACACGGGTTTTATCATGTTTATGCTACTTTTAGCTACTGTATGGTTGATGGGGTTTTTAAATCAAGTACCCTCCAGTGAACTAACATAGCTATGAAAAAATCACAATTTTGAAGGTCAGCAATCATCATAAGTCTCGAAGTAAATTGCCCATTTTCCCATGGCAAACTGCGAAATAGCCAGATGGTCTTCACAAATGCGCGGATGAACAACTCACTGGTTGGTGGTTTCAATCATTTTTTTTCCAGAATATATGGGATGTCATCCTTCCCATCGACTTTCATATTTTTCAAGATGGTTATATAGTTTACCACCAACCAGCTATTGAAAATGGCCATAGACATAGTGGATTTTCCCATTGAAAATGGTGGATCTTTCCATATATAGTTGTTTGTAAACGTTTACCAGGAGGGTAAATCGCTTGGGACTAGCACCAGCGCCTTAGGACGCCATCTTTGAGTACATGGGCTTGCAGCGCCATCAGCCGCTCCGTTTTGGAGGGGCAGTTGCGGTCATAGGCGCTGGCTGTTTCAACCATTAAAAGCCCGTTGCTTCTCCTAAAATGGAACGATTCAGAATATTGGTGTTAGATGGTATTGGTATACTGTAAGTCTATTGGATGCTGAAACTAGATTGGTCTTAGCCTTTGGCAATCAATCATAGCAATGGATATCACCCATTGAAGTATCCATTTGTCGTTGATTTTCCGAGCTACAAACCTCCATCCGGATGGATTTCTCGGCTAGCCATGTTTCATTGCCGGCGGGTCGTCCGTCTGCATTGGCAGATGTTGTCAATCTATGGGAACTGAACATCGGGAGCGAAAGTTGAAGGGACAGGTGCCTCTCTGATCATGGCATCAGGAAGTAGCACTGGTGTTTTTTAGTTGATGTTTTGAGTTTTTGAGCCTGAGTTATTTTTCTTTGCAGCTCTATGGGTGGAACCAGCTTGATACAGACTGACTTTCGTACGCCGTGCCAAGGTGAGCAGACACGAAATTGCACCAAAATGTGGGATACTGCATGCCCCAAATTGCCTTCTTTCAATGTGATATGTGGACAGAGACTATAAACAATCAGATGTTTGTTCGAAAACGCATGTTTTTCAGTCAAACCCACGGTTCAGATCTTTCTCAGTGGACAGATCTAATAGAAACTCGCCCTTCAACACCTTGTGCAGGCACTATCAGCCCATCGCCCTTTTGCAAACTGGATATGTTTGCCAATTGGGTTCAGTTAAACCCCATAACTACCTCCAAATATATTGGATAATCTTGGAAGCCTGTGCACATCTGCGTTTATTTTGTTTAATGATACTTGAAGCAGTCGCTTCCAGTTTGATCCCTTCCAGTTCCAACTGGGATATCCTGAGACTCCGCCTCCACTGGACCCCACTGCTCTAGGATCTTTTGGGGCGTGATCTTAAAAGTGGTCACAATCCTGAGCCTTGGCTTTTCAGAAGGGTAGTTTTTCGGAGGAGTTGGGGTATAGATGTGTCAACAGAGGTGCCCCTTCAGTGATGTTTGTTGGTTTATAGACCCCGTTCACTAGTTCGGTAAATCTACATAATTGCCATAAATCGTAGTTTAACCTCTTGTACTGAACAAAACCAACTTAGTTATTGAACTGGGGCACCACCAACCAAAAATAATTGGATGGCCTGAAGTATGCCACTGGCCATGCAGGCAGTCACCTGTATATTTCCCTGGGTTGAGATCACTTTGAACTGCCACGTGGCTTCTGATACATTCACCATAGTACGCAGATGTTTCAAACCAATCATATACATGTGTTGCATGAGATTTAAGTGTGGATTGTCATACTCCATGATGAGATTTCGTATTGATTAACTTGTAGGTGCAGGGATCGCCCTGTCCAATCAACAAGTTCAGATGTATTTGGATGGCGTTCGAGTCTGACAGTACAAATCATGGATGACAGGGAGGAAGAACGAATTATGTCTTTTCCCGTTCCCCGCCCCAGACTTGCCGACACTGTCCCATATGATTTGGCCATCTTTTTAGTGGATCCCGATGGCATTTGGAGTGAGTTGACCTTCCAATAATTCTCCCTTGAGCATCCAGATGTAACCTGCTTCAGGACCATGTTCCTCTTCGTTTTCGTTCCTTGGTCTTGGCTTTGATGATTTTTCCAGTGGGAAGGGAACATACTTGGGACCCAACTATACCCAAGTTCCCCAAGAGGAAAACATGTATCATTCTGAGGTGAGTGGAGAGTGTTTTACGTACCACACCCTAGCTCATCCCCTTAACTGCAGGGGTGGGGTAGTGGCCCGCCTGTCCGCCTAGTGTTGCACCCGGGTATTGAGCCCGGGTCTGACGCATGAGGGATGCGTCTTATCCACTAGACCATACCGGCCCTCCATCTATCATTCTGATGCTAAAAAAAATCATTCCTGATTCCTGGTGGCCATTTCTGGTGGCTGGAACCAAAGACAAAGGAAAATCCCAAATTTCTGGTGCTGAACATATGAGCCCAACACAGCCAACCACCAAGATGTTTCAACAATATTCCAATCATATATGTATGTATATATATATTGTATGTATATATATATATGTGTGTATTGTAATATATCTATATAATAAAAAATCATGTGTATATATGTGTGTATTGTAATAAATGTATATGTGTAATATATCTATATATGTATATATCTATATATATATATATGTGTGTGTGTATTGTAATATATGTGTCATATATCCATTCACATTTAGTAAGATTCCTGGTGGTTAAACCTTAACTTTTGCTGGTTGATACTACCAACAACCATCAAACCTCCATAATATTGCCATGTATTCTCATGGGTCAAGTACCCACATCCGTTTTACCGAGGAACACACCTTCTGATTTCTTCTGCTTAAACTCCAAGCCCTAGGTGTTACCCTCTTGTAAACATACAAAAAGCTATGGAAAATCACCATCTTTAATAGGTAAATCAACTATAAATGGGTAATGTTCAATAGCTATGTTAAATTACCAGAGGGTAGATCATGTTTAATCCCAACTTTTGGAAACTTTTGGTTTGTTGGTACTAATCCCGTCCCCGCTCATATTAAATACCTGCCATAACTATACGATCATCTTGAACTAGATAGAATATGGGATTTCCAAAAATATCACCACTTTGCTTGACATGTCCATATTCTATCTACTCCAGGACGGCTGTATGTATAGCTGGGAGTATCACATTGGGTTACAGTACCCATACTAGTTATATAATTGAGATGCACACAGTCCTGGATGGTCTCTGGAATTGGAGTCCCATGGGCTAGACAGTGCCCTTTTTTACGGTTCTTTAAACATCGGAAATTAGTGTTTACTGTGTTTTGAAATGGGAAGCTAGCCAGTGTGATATTGGGGATGTCAATGGACACTAACCATCAATGATGGTGATATAATAGGTATATATCATGATTTGAATTGGCATAATATAGTTTATATATATAATATAATCGGATAAATCCCATCTCCCGATCATGTGAAATAGCCTTCATGACTGCGTGGGCCCCACACATGCATAAATCCAATACTAAACCATGGTTTCGGGAATATACTAACTAGCATATACTAGCATGCACATCCAAGCAGTGGTTATTCTATATGGCCACTTACGAACTATCCAACTACTTTTGTAGGATGTTACTTAGGATCCAAAACAGCCACTTATTATTATTGCACCATATTGCACCGTAAGGCCCCCAGGAAAAAAGTTGGTTTACAAAGCATACTAACTATGGATGCAGTGAGATATATTACTATAGTTGGCTTATAAACCATAGTAACCATAGTTAGCTACAACGGTGGCTTATAAACTATGGATGTACCTACCATAAACCCAACAGTGAGATTCGAGTTGCACCAACTGAGCGAAGTATGGGGCACCACCTTTGTAGGCCCCGTTCTCCCTGCCAGACACCAGAAATAGAGGAAATCCCATACAACCACGAAAGGTATATAATATATAAATCTCCATAGGATGATGCCGCTGCGGCATCCCAGCGAAGGTCTCCCTGAACGCTTTCCACGTGGACGTGGGCGAGAAAGCCGCCTCAGCGGGATCCTCATCAATTCGAGCAGCCTTGGCAGGTGTGGGTCCCAGAAATGGAGGGTATTCAGGGGGAAATCTTCAAAAAAAAGGTTTTCCTGTGAATTTTCCCTTAATCAGTTGGAAACCCATGGATCATTGGATGGGTTTTTCGGGGAAATCTTAAACGGAAACCCAGATTTTTTTACCACTAGGGGGTTCTTGTAGATTTTCCCACTGATCCAATGAATGGATGGATTTTTGGGGCTGTAGCATGCTGTGGCACCCCTCGCCGGCGATACTTCGAGCCACTTCCAACCGCAAGTTTCGATTGGTTTTTCATTCACATCGAACTGTTTTTCCCCACCTGCCATGTGAGGGTTGTTAGATTTTATGTCAGTTGCCTGCTCCTCTCCTCCTCTCCTCTCCTCCTCTCCTCTCCTCCTCCTCCTGCTCAACCGCGACCCTCGACGCACAGTGTTCTCTGTCGGACCTCAACCACGACCATCCACGCCCAGTGTTCCCTGCCGGACCTCAACCACGACCATCCGCGCCCAGTGTTCCCTGCCGGACCTCAACCACGACCATCCCGCCCAGTGTTCCCTGCCGGACCTCAACCACGCGACCATCCGCGCCCAGTGTTCCCTGCCGGACCTCAACCGCGAGTATCCACGCCAAGTGTTCCCTGCCGGACCTCATGTAGGAAGATATGGGACAAAGAATGTGCAGAAGAAAGTTAGAAAGAATGTGCACCGCTGGACCTCAACGGCCAGATAGAATGCCAGAAGATATGCCAGGTGGAATGTCAGATAGAATGCCAGAAGATATGCCAGATAAAATGCCATGAGATATGCCAGATAGAATGCCTGAAGGTATGCCAGAAGATATGCCAGATGGTATGCCAGATAAAGTGCCAGAATGTTTGCCAGATAGAATGCCAGAACATTTGCCAGATAGAATGCCAGATAGGATGTCAGAAGATATGCCAGAAGATATGCCAGATAGAATGCCAGATAGAATGCCAGAAGATATGTCAGAACATATGCCAGAAAATATGCCAGATAGAATGCCAGAAGGTATGCCAGATAGAATATCAGATAGAATGCCAGAAGGTATGCCAGAATGTTTGCCAGATAGAATGCCAGAAGATTTGCCAGATAGGATGGCAGAAGATATGCCAGAACATATGCCAGAAGATATGCCAGGTAGAATGCCAGAAGGTATGCCAGATCGAATGCCAGAAGATATGTCAGATAGAATGCCAGAAGATTTGCCAGTAACAAATCGATAAATGTCATGGTGGGGATCACACGAAGTAAAGTAATTTTTGTTTTGATGGTGTGTGACTTTTGATGGCAAAATTGTTTCACCAGCTAAGGGTTTAAGTCGCTTTTGATTATGTTTATTATGTTTTATTATTTTTACTTCAGGATTTAGTGATCAAAAACGATTTAAATTAAAACCCTTTGTATCCTTTAAAGGTAATCATCAATTATAGAAATATATCATCATATCATAATTTACCTACATATTGTCACGTAGCAGTAAGAATGATATGTTTGTTTTTTAATGTTTTTTTAATTACTATTTGTTTCTGATTACACACGGTATTTGCCAGGCCTGGCGTTGCTGGGGTTGCGCAACGACAACAGTCCAGAATACATGGAGAAGCAGGCAAATATCGCCAAGGACAGGCTGATTCCTAGGTGATAAAACGACGCTTTTCCCAGGAAAAAAACAACCGGGGATTTAGATGATTTCCCAAGAAAAATGGAGGAATGAATGGTGGAATGAATGGGATTCAGATAATTTGTTTCAGAGAGCTTAAGCAACAAACCTTGGATATTTATGGAGAACCTGGCTGATTTGAATGGTTTCTCTATAGGGTTGGTGGGTTAGTTCTGCTTGGTGAATTATTGTCATTTATCCATATTATTTAAAAAAAACAATACAGCCAACTTGTTGCTCACATACGTGTATGTATATGTATGTTTAAATAGTATATATCATATATATATGGTATATATAATACATATGTATATCATGTATATATATATATATATCATCATTTGCAATCATATATATATATATATATATTATATATATATAGTGTCCACCATTAATAAACCATCTATGTCGTGGGGATTTGGTAGATATGTCACCACCACCGCAACAAACAAATCACTAAGCAATCAAAATCACCAGAATATCCTTGCAAAGCCCCACGAATGTTTGTAGCATATATATAATTATAATTATAAAATCATATACAATCGCATATATAATTTGGTTTATAATTTCACCTGTTGATGGGTTTCCTACTATATCAATAATATAACACTGTACCATGCAGTTCATATATATATATAAATATAAATATACCTTTGTCGTAAGCCATAATGTCATTTATTGTAACCATATATAAGCCACAATTTTTATTTTTATTTACTAGACCATAAACAAAAAGAAACAGTCCGTTTTCCGACAGAAACACAAACGGCATCACCACAAGGTGGTGCCCCCGTTCACGAAATCCCTAAAGTTGGTGGTTTATGGTAGTTTATAACTCCAGTTTTCACTAGAGTTGATTTACGGGGATAGAACGAACTAGTCGCTGAGTGGGCTCAACAAAAAGCAACAAAACACAACAACTTTATTGGGTTTACAACGAACTAGTTACTATGGGTTTATCCTGATAACATCTGATAACCATGTTACTATAGTTCCTATAATAGTTAACTTTGCCAATTATGTTTATATATATTTATTTATTTAAACTAACTATTGACCAATGTTCTATGCCACTTATAGTTTATAACTGTATAAACCTACATATAGTTAACATTGACTAATATCACTATATTGGGATCTATTACTCTATAGTCACTATAGGGCCCTTTGTCACTTATATCACGTATATTGGGATATATCAGCTATATTGCGATATATTAACTATCACTTGCAATATAAACAAGGTAATAACTATTATCTAATCACCAAAAAGTGAAATGTATCACTCAAAAAAGTCACTATAGTTCATGAATTTATAAACCAATCAACATATCACTGATGTCAGGAGCAGCTCTACCGTATCACCAGCGTCTCGCGCTCGCAGCTTGAAGCGCGCCGCCGCAGCGTGGCCCTCAACGCAGGCGCCGGAAACGTCGTGGCGACGCGGCGTTGGACGGGACCGTGGGGAAGACGTGGGGAAAATGAAGGGAACATGGAGGAAAACTAAGAAAAAATGGAGAAACATTGATCAGTTGACAGGGAGAAATGGTGAATTAACTATAGGAAAATGGTGGATTTGTTGGCGATTTCAGGGAAATAAAGCGCAAAAAAAAAGAAGACTGGTGAGTTAACCACGAAATGTTGGCGAGGCAAACGTACATACTTAACCCAAAAAACAGTACCAAAAAAAGGTGAGTTCACCAGTAAAAATGATGGGTTTTCCAAAAATTTTGCTGATGCCGGAACAGAAATATCGGGATTTAGTCTCACATATTTTGGTCAACGTTTGGTTGCGTAATGCAACTCAATGTGATTGTTCTCAACTGGATGTGGTACTATATTTATATTGACCAGCTAAGAATCGATTTTTCAGAGCAATGTAAGACGGGCAATGACGCGATTCCAGTAGTCCATGGAAACAATAGGACCGAACCATGAAATATATCCCAGATGCTCCATGGATTTACCCTAAAAATGGCCCAGTCATGTTAGTAAATATACCAGCACCATGGAGCCTGGGTATAGTTATATGATATATATATATATATATCATATATATAATATATATCTGGTTGGTGGTTTGGAACATGTTTTATTTTTCCATATATTGGGAATAATAATCCCAACTGACTAATATTTTTCAGAGGGGTTGAAACCACCAACCAGTATATATATATATATATACATTGCAATTGTTCAGACCGTTGTATTGTTTGGACCGTGGAGTCTCTTTAAACTTCTGAAATATAGAACGGTCTTGCCGAAGATGTTATCTAGTGGGTATATTTACTGGCATTTACTCCAAAACATCACCGAAATAGAATGTAAAAACACCATACACCGAGCATTTGATCACAGAACACCTGAAAATCTTATTTGTTGTCCACGTGCCATCATTTGTTTGCATGGCTCAGGGACAAATTACAGCAAGCAATGTGCATCGGTTTCCTCTGAAGCGTCAAATTTCTGTGATGTCCCTTCAACCTAAGAGTTTCCAATCAAACATCATCTGGTTGGTGGTTTGGAACATGAGTTTTATTTTCCATTTCATATATGGGATGTCATCCTTCCCATTGACGAACTCCATCATTTTTCAAGATGGTTTTTTAACCACCAACCAGTCATGAAACCCATGGATCTACAGGTGTGAGAAGTCCTGGAAATTCTGACTTGTTATTCCCATTGGGTAATACGATTTGGGGAATCTATTGGGGGTATACTGGTCACGAAAGGTAGCTCCAGAGGGGCTACCTTGAGTTTTACTTTACGAAGTAAAGGGGAGGGCGGCCAGCCCCGTTACTTGATTCTTCAGGAGATTGCTAGTCATTTTAGTACCCCCCCCCCCCCCCCCCCCCCCCCTCCACACCTCCCACGCACCCTAAGAGCAGACTCAAAATACTGTAATTTACAGTATTTTTGTTCTTTTCGGATCAAGAAACCACATTTTGCTACATGGTGAAACCTCCGTAAATACCAGTGTTTTTGCTAGGTGCTGGCCAAAAAACACTGTAAATACCGTGCTTTTTACTACCAGAGGCAAAAAACATCGTAAATACCGTGGTTTTGGGCTTCCGACCCGCCAAAAACATTGGTATTTACGGTGTTTTTTGCTCCGAGAGATGCAACAACACGCGAAAACACCACCGATTTGACGATTTTCGGCCACTACGGAACGCTGCAGGGGTAACACCAACACCACAAGAACAACACCAACAACACCAACAACACCATAAACACAACAACACAACAACACAACAACACAACAACACACAACAACACAACAACACCAACAACACCAACAACACCAACAACACCAACAACACCAACAACACCAACAACAACAACAACAACAACAACAACAACAACAACAACAACAACACCATCAGCAGCAGCAACAACAACAACATCAACAACAACAACACCATCAGCAGCAGCAGCAACAACAGCAACATCAACAGCAACAACAACAACAACACCATCAGCAGCAGCAGCAGCAACAACAGCAACAACAACAACAACAAAAACAAACACAACCACAACAACACCAACAACAACGCACAACGCACAACGCACAACGCACGAAACACACGAAACACACGAAACACACACAACACACACAACACACACAACACACACACACAACAACACACAACAACACACAACAACACACAACAATGCACAACAACACACACAATTACACACAACAACACACACACAACAACACACAACAACACACCACAACACACGACAACACACAACAACACACGCAACACACAACAACACAACAACGCAACAACAACACACAACAACACACAACAACACACACAACAACACACAACACACAACAACACACCAACAACACACAACAACACACAACAACACACAACAACACACAACAACACACAACAACACACAACAACACACAACAACACACAACAACACACAACAACACACAACAACACACAACAACACACAACAACACACAACAACACACAACAACACACACACAACACACAACAACACACAACAACACACAACAACACACAACAACACACAACAACACACAACAACACACAACAACAACACACACAACACACAACAACACACAACAACACACAACAACACACAACAACACACAACAACACACAACAACACACAACAACACACAACAACAACAACAACACACAACAACACACAACAACAACAACAACAACATCAACATCAACATCAACAACAACAACACCATCAGCAGCAGCAGCAGCAACAACAGCAACAGCAACAACAACAACAACACAAACACCATTGCGGCCGCGATCAGTGACTGCGCACAGTGCGCGCACCGAGTGCACCGAGTGCACCGAGTGTACCGCACCGAGTGCACCGCACCGAGTGCACCGAGTGCACCGAGTACACTTGCAGAGCACTGAGTGCACCGAGTACACCGAGTGCACTTGCAGCGCACCGAGTGCACCGAGTGCACCGAGTGCACCGAGTGCACTTGCAGCGCACCGAGTGCACCGAGTGCACCGAGTGCACCAAGTGCACCGAGTGCACCGAGTCCACTTGCAGCGCACCGAGTGCACCGAGTGCACGGAGTACACTTGGAGCGCACCGAGTGCACCGAGTAGACTTTCAGGTGTTTAAGCCTTTATCCCTCTACCTACCTACCTATCTATCTATCTATCTGTCTATCTATCTATCTATCTACCTATCTATCTATCTATCGATCTATCTATGTATGCATGTATGCATGCATGCATGTAAATGTACTGTATCTACCGTTGTTCCTAGTTGTTTGTCTTTCTATCTGTTCTCGATCTAATTAATGTCTTTTCTTCTTCAGTCTGTTTTTTCTACCTATCGGTATGTCTATGTTGGGTAGTTGTCCACTTTGAACTAGCTTTGAACAAGTGACCTGAGGAATCCTTTTTTATCCCAACAAAGGGTCTCTAGGTCACGTGCTGCAACATGAAAATAGTTCAACAGGTCTTAACAAAAGACGGTTAATTAATCTGAAAGTGGACTCTTGCAAATCTACTTATCTTTCTCTTGGTCTATCGTTCTTACTACCTACCGGTATATGTCTATCTATGTTTTTTTTAAACTTCTATCGGCCCACCTATCTACTATCTACCTGCACTGTTCTACCGTTCTTATTATCCCTCTACAAGTCGATCTATCTCCATTTTCTTTGTTTTCTTTCCATTATCATTTGTCTGTCCTCCTATCTATTTAATCTATCTAATCTATCAAATCCATTTAATCTATCAAATCTATCAAATCTATCTATTCTATATCCATCGATCGATAGATCTATTCTATGCATTCTATCTATTCTATCGATCTATCGAAAAAATCTTTTCTATCGATCTATCGATCTATCTATCTCTCCGTTCTATTCTGTTCTATGCTATTCTATTCTATCTATTCTAGTCTATTCTAATCTAATCTAATCTAATCCTATCTATCCATCCATCTATCTATCTATTCATTCTATCTATTCATTCATATTATCTATTCATTCTATCCATCTATTCATTCTATCTATCTGTTCAATCTACCTATCTATTCATTCTTCCTATCTTTTCATTCTATCGATCTATTCATTCTTTCTATCTATTCATTCTTTCTATCTATTCATTCTTTCTATCTATTCATTCTTTCTATCTTTTCATTCTATCTATCTATCTATCTACCTATCTATCTATCTATCTATCCATCTATCCATCTATCCATCTATCCATCTATCCATCTATCCATCTATCCATCTATCCATTCTATCCATTCTATCTAGCTATTCATTCTATCTATTCATTCTATCTAGCTATTCATTCTATATGTTCATTCTATCTATCTAACTATCTATCTATCTATTTACTTAATCTATTTATCTATCTACCTATCTATCTATCTATCTATCTATTTACCTAATCTATCTATCTATCTATCTATCTACCTATCTATCTATCTATCTTTCTTTCTATACTTCTATCTTTTCATTCTGTCTAGTTATTCATATCATCTATTCTTTTTCATTCTTTCTATCTACTCATTCTATCTATCTATCCATCCATTCTATCTGTCTATTTATTCTATCTATCTATTCATTCTTTCTGTTCAGTCTATCTATCTATCAATCTATCTGTTCCTTCTATCTATCTATTCATTTGTTTTATTCTATCTATCTAATTCCCAACCTACCGATCTATGTATCTATCTATCTGTCTATGTATCGATCTATCTATCGATCTGCCTACCTATGTGTCAATCTAGACCTTTCTTTCGTATATAATTATTTATCTACCTCTTCGGTTTTAATATATCTTATTCGGCTTATCTTCGTTCAAAGTGAAAGTCGAAATATATGTCAGATAGAATGCCCAACAGAATGTCAGAATAGATGCCAGATAGAATCTTAGCCAAAATGTCAGAATATATGTCCAAATGCGGATCACTCGAAGTAAAGTAATTTAAATCTATCTAGCTATTGTTCTTTCGCTGTCGATT